CTATGAGTGATATTTGCTTTGTGTCCTATCACCCTTCTATTCAGCCGTTCTCCCCTTCCAAGCAGGTAAACCTCTGCTTAGAAGAAATTGTTTCTTCTGCCGAGCCTCGGTGCAGTTGACAGCTGTCATATACAAGCACTATACTTGAATACGTGTCTTTAAAGCTAGACAATCTTAAAGAGCTTTAATCTTTTCTCTTTGCACATGCAGGGAATGCCTAGGAGCCAGAGACCCCTATTGTGGCTGGGATAACAAGCAGAAGCGATGCACCACCATTGAGGACAGCTCCAACATGAGCCTGTGGACTCAAAATATTACTGAATGCCCAGTAAGTGGAAGGAGTGGAAAGATTTTATATATACTGATGTGTGAGCGTGTGTGTATGTGTAGAAGGGAGAGAAGAAGTGAGTGTGTGGCAACCTGATGAGGACTGGCTGTTAGGAGAGCATGGAGAGCCCATTGGCACAGACAAATATCTGTGCACGGCCTCTTGTTTAGAGCACAGAGACCCCAAATGTATTTGTTTGCTCCAAAAGGGGGATCCCAAAGCAAGAATTCAGTCCTCCTCATGCCCACCCATGCCTTAAGAAGATCGGATCATGCTGTTGGGTTACTGTTGAGAACCATGTAAACCCCAGATGAAACCTGAGCTTTCTCAGGGCTGATCCACTGTCTGCACCACTTCCTTGGCTTCCCTGCAGGTCAGGGAAATGGGAATAGCCGATTCACAGCATCCTCAGGCACCTCATCCAGTTCATTTTCCCCTTGGGTCCCTGAGCTGGGCCCAACGCTGGTGGTGAAGTGTTGCACTGGCAGGAACAGGCATCTAGGGAGCAGCAGACAAACAGGGCACGCACAGATGATTTGCAGAGGGAACAAAAAGATGCAGTACGTATTACAGAACAAGAGGGAAGAGGAGAGTGTTGCCATTCTGTGATTCCGTAAGAGAGGGAGCATGAGAAAAAGGGTGTTTGATTCTAACTTCAAATTAGCAGACCAAAGAGAGATGGTCTTCTTTCCTTGCCCTGGCCTCCATGAGATGCAACAGTTAAAAAAAAAGGTGTCTCTGCTTGAATCAGTTTGAGTTGGCTCTCCAGCTCCCTTCGTACCCACCCACCCACCCTTGTCTGACGACAATAGCCAGTTCCTCGCTGTGAACCCCAGAAGCTGTCTGGCCAA